TGGAGGACTTGATTCACCAAATTTCTACTGATTCAATGGGTCTATTCTACTGCAGGTTATTACACTAAGGATCAGAATTTCAGCCAATGTATCTGTGGAATTGAATTTATCAGTGATCTGCAATAACATAATTCCATTTTAGTATAATTGATGTAATTTAATATGATCAAAACAGTGTAATATTAGCATTAATAGCAGTAGATATGTACTATAATAAAGATTTCAGGGACTATGAAATAAAAGTAAATTTTCATGGTGTTTATGCGCCAAATATTTTTTAGCAAAATAAACTGTTTTAAAAATAACTTTTAAATATACATTTTATTTTGTTGACATCCCTTTTTTCCACTCATGGGATTGTGTGGGAAATCTCCCTTACTTGCGCCTTAAAATGGCCACAGAAAAGAGCATATATACATGTATATATTAAATAATATAAATTGGGCATTCATGCTCTACATGCCAATTATTTTTTGCATTAACAACAAGGCAAGCAATAAGATATGAAAATAATTAAAAAGGCAAAATTATTAACAACAAGGCAAGCAATAAGAAGATATGAAAATAATTAAAAAGGCAAAATGTCAATATAAGATGCAAAAAGTCAATTACAGTACTGCCAATATACAATAGTCAATTCACTCTCTATATACTATTTCTTCTCTTCTAAAGGATATTTCTTCTCTTCTAAAGGCAGTGGAAGACAGGAGGGCCTGGCGTGCTCTGGTCCATGGGGTCACGAACAGTTGGACACAACAAAACTACTAAATCGTGTCTGACTCTTCATAAATGTTAAAGATCAATCTCTATGTTTTTTGGCAAGTTTTCAAAACGGGAAAGGGTACCAGACAGCTAACATGAACAACATTCTCTAACCACGTAATTTCAAAAGCAAAGAGATATTAAGATATTAATATTATGTTGGATCCAAATTGAGAGTTTGAATGATAAAATGAGAGATTGTATTGTCTCAAGTGATACATAAGAACAAATGCAATGAAACATGCAGTCTAGGCCAGGTCAGTCTGCTCTGCGTCTCATTCAATGTGCTGATCTTTGAAACACTGGTCACATATTCTATTCAATGATTCTATTTAGCTATCTTATTTTCCTCTGGCTTGAAGAGCTCCTTAAAAGTGCATGACTCACACAGTGGCAGCATTAGAAAAACAAAGAGACTATCAGTCCACAAAATGGATGATATGGATGAGTTAAGAGATCTTTATGGCAGAAGATGGGGAGATGAGAGGAAGACGTCATTTTCCCTCTTGCTCAAGGCAGGTCTCTTTCTGCCAGGGAAAAGTATGATAATTTGCATGTTTTCCTTTGCTGCAGTAACAACAAAACACTAGTGAAAATTACATAATGTGTAACTAGTGTTGGACTGAGAAGAAATAGGTTCGAAACCCAATAGTCCTGACACACAGTTTATGTCACAGAGTCAGGGCATCTCTCTGTGTTTATTTTATTTTTGATCTCTTTCACCAATCCAATTGACAAATGCCTCCATCACCAAATCTACGATCTAAAACCTAACCTAAAAATTCTTTTTTTGCGCTCTTAGTAGGCACACCAAAGAGTTCTCACTAATTTCTAGTCATACTCTGTTTGAGACCTGTGTCGCTTGGACCCTAGCCACCATCCAGCTTGTTTCATTTCCCATAAAACTTCAGTTCTTGTTGTTTAGTCGTTAAGTCGTGTCTGACTCTTCATGATTCCATGGACCAGAGTAATGGTTCTTAACCTTTGTTACTCAGGTGTTTTTGAACTGCAACTCCCAGAAACCCCAGCCAGCAGAGCTGATGGTGAAGGCTTCTGGGAGTTGCAGTCCAAAGACATCTGAGTAACAAAGGTTAAGAACCAGTGGACCAGAGCATGCCAGGCCCTCCTGTTTTCCACTACCTCCCAGAGTTGGGTCAAATTCATGTTGGTAGCTTCAATGACACCGTCTAACCATCTCATCCTCTGTCGTCCCCTTCTCCTCTTGCCCTCAACTTTCCCAACATCAGGGTCTTTTCCAGGGAAAGACTTCAGTAAACCAAGGGGAATTGGAGTGGCGCATGAGAGAAAATCACCAGCCCTGTCAACTAGAAATTTCCCTGGAGCATTCAGGAATCCTTTGGATTCCATGTCTCTGAGGGTGAGCCCTCTCCCTTAGTTCTTCCCATGGCAAAAACTAGATCCAGGGTATGACCTGCTACATGTGTTAGGCCAATGATGTGTTGAGACAACTTCATGGTTGCACAGTGACCATGAACTCCTGAGCGGGACCTGTCAAAACAGCCACAGTATGGGTGTTGATGTCCCTCAGAACAACAGTTCTGGGGTTATCCAAGACCACCTGCAAGATTACCTCTGCCAGCTCAGGCAGGGCGATTGCTGGGCAGTGGAGGGGCCAGTCTACCAGCGGCAACCCTATTCTGTCTCTTTGGCCCAGCACAAGGTACAGGCCCTCAAAACTGATGCCAGAGCATATAGATAGTAGATGGAGTCCTTATTGATTAGGGCAACTCCCTCCCCAGCTAAGATGACATTCTGTTCTCTGCAGAGAGAAGCTTTAATTTTTTTTTTGTTGGATGCAGGCACTGCTTCACCAAAGGAAAGGGCTGCCAATTAGAAGTATAGTATGCCCGCAGAAAAATGGGAGGAGACGTGTCCTATGAAAAAGAAACTGAATAAAAATAGAAAACATAGATGGAGGAAAGGAGTTCCCACCATACACGTATACACCCCAGTGGCCAGTTTAGAAAAGAAAGGAGAAGGAACTTTCAACGGGTGCATGTGGAGAAAGCACAGAAGGAAATGATAATTAAAAAAGATAAAAGATTGCTGATAAACCTTTAGTGAAAGGAGTCAAAATGGGTTCTTGAAGCTAAATAGATTTCTCAGAGAAAACAGAAGTGGATCGGTCACCTTGAGTTTCTTAAATAGGTTTCCAGTATATTTTCAAAAGGCAACCATCTAGTTCTGAACTGGACAAAATTATTTTTGTTTAAATTCTCAGAAGCGTTGGTGATATGATGCCAAGGAAGAAAGAAAACTGAGTATGACCTAAAAAAGGTAAATAATTGTTACTCAGAAAAGAGCTTGGAAACATTACCTTTTGGATTACAACTTGTAGAATCCCCAGCCAGGATGACCATTGGAGGTTTTTTTTTGGAGGTACAGTCCAAAAAGGTAACTTTTCCAAGTTCAGTACAGGGAAGTGCCTTACACCAAGTCAGCCAATCAGCTCATGTAACTGAATTTTGTGTATTCTGTCCAGCAGTGGCTCATCAGTGTCTCAGTAAGAGGTCATTCATACCACCTGCTACTCCATGCTTTTAAATGGAAATCGCAGGGACGGAATTTAGAGTCACTTGCTTGCTAAGTTGAGGCTCCACCTCAGAACATGGAGGGGATGTAGGCCAGATTGTCTCTAGACCACTTGCCTACGAAGGATGAGGTTACAGGTTTTGCAAGACAGGTTTCTATTTTAATTTTCTAATGTAGCTATTGAGTGTGCACCAGATGTGTTCACATGAAACAATCTACAGTACACACAGCAAAATGCCCTAAGATGGCTCCCCTGCATGTATTTGCTCAGATATGAGTCCAATTGAGTTTTTTGGGTCTTGCCCAACAAAAGTGAGTAGAGAACTTCAACCTAAGGTTGCAAATCAAGGTACATTTACCAGGAAATATGCCTTCATCTGAACATACCAAGAAATTTGAGAAAATCTGCACAAGATTGGTCTGTAATTCAGGTGTACGGTAATTTTCTTTTCTGAACAGCAAAATCCTAAGAAATTTGAGGGGCATCAATATTTGGCAAATCGTCTTCTTCCACCCAGATATACCCGAATCACTCGTCATCGCTAGCAGTGATGGCTGAGGGATCTGACGCTGAGAGAGGCTCGGAAGGAAAGAAGCTTTAAAATAATAATAAGAAGAAATCAGTCAATAAATTGTTTTTTTGCATGTGGAAAAAAGATACTAAAGAACCTTACTTTACACTCACAATAAAGCCAACATTATATTTCTTGTCATTATATATTTAAGCTATAAAGTAACTGGAATAGAAAGGGATTTCCCATTCAAATAAATAAACAAAAATCAAGAGGAAATGGACTATCTATTGCTCCATCTATATGATGTCTATACTAGATATGTAGCTTAATTCTATAGTAGATGTTGAGTGATATTTTTATTGTATCCTGTGTGGTGGAAATAAACATTAAAAACTCTTGTATTTTACACAAAATGCACAGAGTTGAAACATGAAAATATATACTAGTATTTTTCTTCTAAAGGCTCAACACGACAGCAACACTTTATGAAGTTTATTTTGAAGACGGGAGTACATGTTGAAAGAATAAAGCTGTAAAAATAGCAAAATCATCTAAATGCCATTTTAGGGAAACAGAGGGCACATTTTCTGGGTTTTGGAACCCTTATTTTATGCCTCCCCCCCAAAAAAAAACCAAAGTACTCATTTATTGCTTCTAGTTTGATAAAAGACCTCCTAGGCCCAAAAAATGTGGGGCAGAACACCTAATGAAACTGCCCCCATACTCTGTTGGAGGCATGAGGAGGGGCTTTTAAAATTAAAACTATTGTAGATAATTTTAGGGAAGTGCAGTGGCACAAGATGGTATACTGGGGGCTCTGAGGGGGCTGCATACGGCTTATGGATCACACTTTCCCACTCCTGGTTTAGTTATCCACACAAAGATGAAACAGGAATCAATGGGCTGTGTCCACTGTTACCTGTCTCATTACTTAAGTTAAAGATTTGTGTTATTCGGAAACGTAGTCAATTACAGAAAGGGGCCTATAAAAAGCTACAGAAAAAGAGGGGGAAATTTTACCTAGTGCTGTTGTTTCCAGGGTCTCATCCATGCCCTTAATTTCACTGAAAAAGCAGCAATTATCTAGTTTTCAGGAAGGTTTCGTAGAAGTATGACATCTATTCTCTTAGCCTTTTCCATTTAGCGAAGGAAAGTAAACCTAATACTTACTGGATCTTTTTTTACCAGGTCACGATCAGACACCACTGCAATGAGGTGGGCTAGTGTAAACACCGAGTTAAGAACATACGAGAAAAACAAATTTTTGTGCAGTGTTATCCTTTGACAGCTGAGGCTCCTGAAAAAAAAATATGCACCACAAATTGTAAATTAGAGCTTTGATTCTGACATCACTTTATAATAAGCACATGCTGGCAACTCACACTGAGGAATGCAGATTTGGCAACAGGCAGTTGGAAAACACATGGTTGGCACTGAAGCCATGGGAGAAAACTTTTCTACACTTGTTTAAAGTTACGTGTTTCCAGACCAATTGTAAAGATACCTGCATCCTATGTGAGTAGTAGATATTCAGTTCTGCTCTGTGCATACAGGAAGTCACAGTGACAGAAAGTGTTTTTCCTGTATAAATGCAAAGTACAAATACTGCGTGCATTATTCTTTAAGGAGATATTCTTTGGAATTGAAATTACATAACACAACAGGAATGGTAGTCAGCTAAGCAAGGAATCTTGAACTGGCATTTACTCAGATGTCAGGGAGCTCTGAATTCATAGTCTGCATGGTTTTGATTCTTTCCTGGATCCCACAAGAATAAGAGACTTGTTTCCTGTTTAATTGCAGCCAACATAATCAAGAAAACTGCTGGCTTTTTCCATACTTCCAAGCCAAATTTTTATTAGAACTAATCACAAATGGTTGCACCATTAAATCACTAGAGCCACTGACACAGATAACAATATTGTTATAATAACTGTATATTTGAACAGGCTTTCAATGGCTGAAATAGGAAAACAACTCATGCTTCCCTAAGGAAGCAAGACATTTGGTTGGATCCATATTTAGTAATAATAACTATAACCATTAAATGATTGGGACGTAAAAGAATCATTCTTTTGAGTATGACTGAATCAGGATTACAACCAGTAGCATAAGGTTAATTGCATTTCCCATGTTGTTGCTCCTCATCCATCTAATGTGGAAAATTCCCACTAGAGTTTTACAATCTGCTTCTGATTTTGCAAGCCTAAATAATCTCGTATTGCCCAGAAACTTGGCAACCGACTGCTCACTCCTCATGGCAAATCATTTCAATAAATCATAGAATAATAACGGTCCTCAGAGGACCACCCACCATTGTTCTTTCTGTGGTAAAATTGATATTTTATTCCTTTCTCCTGCACTTTGTTCTTTTACAAATAACCAGCTGATAAGACCTTCTGAAATTTGATATGTTTTATTATAAAAGCCCCTGATGTAATGATGTATTTTGCCTTGTGGTAATATCAAAAGCTGTAACTGGTGATCACATAAAAATAACATCGAAGTTCCTCAAGCAAAGAGAAAGCAAGAGAAATATTTTAAATACAAATACTGATTCACTTCTTTTTGTCTCTATATTGTCAACCTCAACGTCTAAATGTTAAATATAAACCACTCAGTTCTAGTAACGGACAGAACTCTCTGCTTTGCCGTACACATAAGACACATCAGAGAGCAAGACAATAGGAAAATTGAGAACAGAATGTTAGAGCAAAAATTAATTTTGATTAGACATAAAAGAAATAATGGGCAGAACTCTACTGGTGTTCACATAACATTTATGTAATCTGCCATGACTAATTGCAGCTAATTAATGAGGCAGTAGGGGGGGTATTCTCAGTTGCCATGTCTGATTGCTTGCCTGATTGCACAGCTAAGACGTACCACAGCACATTGTCAATTAGCAATAGCAAAGTAGTCAAGGCGTACACAAAAAAACAACAGGTATCTGACCAATATGTGTTAAAGAAGGTGGAGAGCCACTAACTTTGAATCTTCTATTTGTTGGGAAATAAATAAATATGGATTACATATTTGTGTAATACATTTGTGGCACGAGGGCATCATATACCGTATATACTCAAGTATAAGGCAACCCGAATAAAAGCCGAGGCACCCAATTTTACCACACAAAAACCTGGGAAAACATATTGACTCGAGTATAAGCTGAGGGTGGAAAATGCAGCAGCTACTGGTAAATTTCAAAAATAAATATAGATACATATAAAATTACATTAATTGATGCATCAATGTTTTTGAAGATACTGCCCTTCTGAGCTGTGAGAAACACTTCACCGCTTGTGGAGGGCGGACTCATACTGGACGCTACACTTATCTACTGCTTCGTAACAAGATGGAGGTTGTGGAGGGCGGACTCATACTGGATGCTACGCTTATCTACTGCTTCGTAACAAGATGGAGGGAGACAGAGGTGGAAGGTGGGAGGAGGAAGGTGGAAGGTGGGTACATAGAATATGCAGGAGGAGGAGGATGGGTGGAAGCGGAAATGTAGTGTACTTAACTCAGGTCATTGGACCACCCACAGAGGCTGCCAGCAGGAGGATGGGTGGAAGTGGAAATGTAGTGTACTTAATTCAGGTCATTGGACCACCCACAGAGGCTGCAGGCACCCATAGATGAGCGGGGGAGTCTGGAGAACACCCGCACTGCAGGGGAGAACATGTAATTTCGATCCTGACTTGAGTATAAGCCAGGGGGTGGTGCTTTTTCAGCAAAAAAATTGTGCTGAAAAACTAGGTTTATACTCGAATATATACAGTATATAACACTTTTATACTACATTGATTAATGTAGAAGCAATAAACCTCCTCTGTCTCACTTTCAGAATTGCTCATTGTCTCTTTCCCCATTTTAATGACTTTGTGAATAAATAGACTGATTGAAGAGTACCGTATACACATTTAGTGATCTTGAGTGTACGTCTTATTTGTGACGAAGGATTCTCAATGCAGTAGTAATCTGCTCACTCTGAATGGGTAACTACAGAATTAAAGAATTAAATGTGTATGCTATATGTATGTTATAAAGAATTAAATGTTTATGTCATATGTATGTTATACAATCAATGGTATTATACAGTGGACCCTTGACTTACAGACGGCTTGACTTACAGACTTTTTGAGTTACAGACTTCTCTGGCCGCAAAATTTAGGTTTGACTTGCAGACTGAGAATTGACTTGCAGACCAAAAAAAAACCAAAATGGAACAAAAACGGCCTGTTACGGGATTAATCAGTTTTCAATGCACTGTAGGTCAAATGGGTAACTACAGGATTAAAGAATTAAATGTGTATGCTATATGTATGTTATAAAGAATTAAATGTTTATGTCATATGTACTGTATGTTGTATAATCAATGGTATTATACCACAGAGGGCAATATGCTTTAGACACAGGTTCACCCCTATTTTACACACATAAGAAAGACTTGCATTTAGAACAATTTTATTGTTGATTCTTTGCGCTCTAGTTAGCCACACAGATATTTGTGTAAAATCATTTATGCTGTTTTTTATATTTATAAGTACAAGATACCTGCTGTACATAATCAAATGTTTGTGTCTGCAGAACCTAACTGCTGAATGAGGTTTTGTTTCCTGATTTCATTTTATCTATGTAAACATAATATAGGCAAGATTATTCATTTGATCTACTGAGAAAGATTCAGCATTATACATTTTCCAGTTTCACGTACCCATTCATCTACTTGATGTCCTGAAGAATTCTGCATAACTCTGAGTAGCCATTTTGCTACGTCTATAGTGAAGTAGACCCAAATGCTAACCTTGATAATGTTGGCTAAAGAATAACTTGTTGTATCATATGGACCAGAAGAGAACACCTTGCTCAAGTCACTGAAGAAAATAAAATAAAATAAAAGTATGAAGAACTGGTTTACTTGAAGTAGAAGAAAATCCCCAAGGAAATCAACAGGGAGGTTATAGACAAAGCATGTCCTACTATAGTCATATAATAAAGTATGAATACCATCTGAAATTAAAAAAAACACATAAACATAAAAAGCTATATTTTAATTGATGTTTATAATTTACTTTGAAATATATGTGATAGTAGTGATAACTGTTTGTTTTTTTAAAAAGAGTTTGACAGGTGAGGAAAGCTGACTCTCTCCACTGCCACAGAACTTGAAATTAGTGCTTTCTTAAGTCAAATGTATTAAGACGAATGATTTTTGAAATCTATAACAAGGCCTGGTTTCTACTCAAATTGATTTTCACATTCCAAATGTGTTTTATAGATATATAATATCAATTTACTGTCATGACACACGCTGAGAGCATGCTGCACCTCTGAATGAAAGAGATGTTCTAAGATGATGTGGCATTGCGATTAAGCCTGTCAAACTGAAAACAGCCAATGCTGCTTCTTTCACTGGCTGCTCCTAGAGAACCACAACCACCAAGATTACCAAGAGTGGATACCCAGTCTTTAACACTCCAAACAATTCTAGTGGGTGGCAGGTACTGTAAGTAGTGGTTTGTTTTGTCATTGTCAAGTTTAAAGAAAACTGCAGTAAGATTCATGGCTCTCAGCCAGGCTTAATCATAATTAGAACAGTCCTTCTGAACTTAATAGGATATTAAGCCCAGACACAGGTGAATATGTCTGTGAATATTCTCTATGAATATTCTTGAAGTCTGTAAAAAGATTTGTAAACATTGTACAAATATTTTAAATATTGCTTTTGCAGTCATCAATCATTTCTATAGCACCATGAGAAAAAAAGGTAGGAAAATGAAAGCCACACTGGATGTAATGGTAACAAACTGTTTAAACTTGGATCTCTCCTAGTCATGTTTAAAGAGCTTTACAAAACACACAAACAAAGGAGATCCACATTTGACACATGTTGGCTGTCTTCATTGACACAATTTTCTGTTCCACAACCAGTGGTGTAATGGGAGTGCTGGGTCAAAGTGCTGAGACTTCCAAATAAGCAGGACAGCAAAATTTGCCCTTCTTAGGTTTCTCTGTTCCATCTAGGCTCAGCTGCAATCCTTTCCATAGCTGGGACAAAATGGATTATTCCTGGAAAAATAAAGCTAGCTCAGCTATCTTCAAATCATATCTCACACAGTCCTAATTATTCAGCTTCCTCCCATTCATTGTTCATGCAAACATGTGGAACCGTAGAAACAAATTTTCTGTGACATTTGCTGAAACAAAACAATGGACAAATCACGGAAGAAACGAAAGGAAGAAAGCAGGAATTCAGTTCCAACCAGGAAATTTTTATACAGATGCATTTTTCTCCTTGGTGAATGGCATTCACTTTCAGATGACTGGAATCTGGCCAAAACAACACTCATGCTGTGCTGCCATTTTTTAAAATCCCCTCCCCTACATTGAGGATAAATAATGGTCAGCATTTCCCCTACGGATAACATGCTTAATAGATACCACACCAAACCTAACCTACCTTTTGAAAAAAAAATGAAAATGTTTATAGACATTTACTTAATGCTTTTGAGAATATCACAGCTTCTTGGTACAGAGGGTTGTGGGGTTTTGGGGAATTTTTAAAGCCATCTTGCATAAATCTAATTGATTCTTCCACATTACTATGTAATGAGTAGGCCACTGATCAATCTAAAAGCCACACAATCTAAACAAGAAGTTATTCAACCAACAAAAGTCTGTGAATTCAAAACATGAGAAGGGGTTAGGGATATTTAAAATGGAAGACACTGTCAAGCAAAATTAATAAAGCTATGGGAGAAATTTAAGAATGTAAAGGGTGACATCCTGTTTCTTTACTGTTTACCTTAGTTACTTCAGTTGGAGAAGTGAGACAGTCAAGTCACCTTCATTGCCAAAGGTGCTAACAACAATCAGCTGCTACCTCTCTTCAGCTGACTTGGGAGTGGAAGTATTTCTTTTTATTGTATGTGAGGGTGAAGCAAGGCAGTAAGGGCTAAAAGACAAGTGAGTTTTTCGTTGCCCGAGGCATTTGTCTTGGAAAGCGGCGATTGCGGTTGGGGCTCCAATGGTGCTTCCCCAGCTCCCTACCTGGTAAGTGACTTTTTCAGAGGTTTTTTGGCCCATAGGAGCGCATTAATTAAAATTCAGTGCATTCCTATGGGAAAACGTACCTTGCAAGACGAAAATATCTTTGTCTTGCGGGGCACCAAAAAACTCGCAAGATGCTTTCATCTTGTGAGTTTTTCGTTGCCTGAGGCATTTGTCTTGCGAGTTACCACTGTATTAATATTTAGCCAGAAACTGTGTCATTTTTCAATCCTGGAAAAACATTCTTGGACAGTTTTCTACACAAATACTGACCAAATATACATATTTCACCAGACCATCTGACTATATGCACATGTTGAAATGTGAAGTCCAGATAGTGCAGCTCATGAAAAGTACTGTACAAATAGTGAGTCCACTGCAATATGCTTCACACATGCCTACATATCTTTTACATGGCAATGTTACCAGCAAGGCTGGACAAGGGGCAGGTGATCCAGGCAACATCCTTGAGTGCTAGGTTCAGAGAGCACCTGGAACAGACTCTCTACTCAACTATCTACTCAGTAGCTGAAATAAATCCTTCATATAGTTTATCTTCACTTGTAAACCCAGCAACGCTGTTCTGCGTGGCCAGTTTTGAGTTAACAAGAAGAGGTACCTTAGTGCCATTTCAATGGAGTGAGTAATTTGGATCCAATTCATAGATGGAGATGCATCACCCTACAAGACTGGAATAAAATAAGTGTGCAAACTATGCATCTAAGTTGAGAAACTGGCTACCAAAACAATAAAAAGATATTCCAAAAGAGCCAGATTAACTAAATGTTGTATGAAGCACAGGCAAAGATGGTGCTGATACTACTTTATATTGCATCCTTGATAACAGATAAAAAGTGGGTAGAATAAAAATTAAGAAGCAGCAGAAACTATACCAGTCTTTAAATAGCCTACCTTACGTTTTTCATTTGTGAAAGAATTGCATCGTGTATAGTTGGACCAAGTTCGATTGCTTTCTGGATGTCGGAACCAGGTTCCTGTCTTATCACAGTATTTTGTCGCCATTTCTGCAAATTAAGAATGCAAGGCATGCAAGTCATTTAAGAAGCCTAAGTCTATACATCAAATGCCAACAATTTTTGCACTTCTCATTAACTTCAGGTGACATTTGAATCTCATTTACTACATCAGTGAGATAGATTATGACACTGTAAACTTAATTTTGCTACAGTAGAACAGCAAATTGCTATATATCCACATATCTTCTTGGAACATGACATATTAGAAACAGCTATATTTTTACAACACAGAGATAGGGTTGATAAAATCTAGTTCTTAGGATAAAACAGACAATCCTTGATGATGATGAAAAAATTACAGTGAACAGTTCTTCATTTCTATTGAAAGTTGAATATCTACAAGTCTTGTTTTTGTGAAAGTGTTGAGATAATATCAGTAAATGTTCAGAAGGCTAGTGGGTTAATGTATTTATTTTCAAGGGGGCGTCTTAAAATGTGAGCTGTCTCCTCCCACAACAGCAATGCCTTCTCCCTTGTTATTGTATTCTTGGGATAGAATGCCCATTGGAACCACATCATGATGCAGTATTGTGGCCAGTGGCAAGCAGCCAAAGCAACCACACCCGTTTGAAATTATGGAAGAGTTTTGTTTTCAGAGAAAGAAGGAAGGGAAAACCTTGCAAAATAAGCCCCTATTCCTGAACATTTGTTTGCTCCTAACATAATTTGGGGCAATGTGGGGGCCTTTTACTTATTTTGTGAAACAAATTAAATATCTTGGGTTGAATATCTTGGCTCAACATGGTTTTTATTATCAAATGATTATCTGAATGAAGAACTATTGGTGAAGGCAGCCAAGTTTGCACAGTCATACTATAAGTATTCATGCAAATAGATCCATTTGTTGTTGCATTTTAGCCACAAACTTATATGTTCATATCACAGCCAGCCTATTTGCTGAACATGATTTGTTGTTGATACATGCCGCTGTTGGTAAAAATGACCAATTAGGTAAACATTACTTTATAAAGAACAAAGGCAAAAACAGCAAAGAGTATTGTGACAGCTTAAAGGTGAACACTTTTCTTGCAGTATGTGCTTGTCATAAAAATATGTATCAGTTTTTAAGATGTCACAAGATGCTCACTGTTTTTGCTGTAATAGACTAACACATCTTGTCATTTGGAAATGGAACTAAATTGATGGTATGTACAACTGAACCTATACCAGCCTTCCATCATTATTTCCAAAATCTCCTTAATGTTAAAAGAAAACAGCAGTAACAGCTGAATGGTTAGGCAAAGGCTCTTTTAAGGAATTCTAATACAGTGGTGCCTCGCATAGCGATAACTCCGTATAGCGATGAAATCACTTTGCGATGGACTTTTGCCATCGCAAGAGTGATCGCTTTGTGATGGCCACTATGGGGAAATTTTGCTTTGCGATGATCGCAGGGAAGCGATCATCGCAAAGCCCCCATTTTCGGCCAGCTGATCGGCGGTTTCAAAATGGCCGCCGGAAAAACAAAATGGCGCCTGCTGTTTTGCCTCGCTTAAGAGACAGCGAAAACTGCGGCACTATGGAGGATTTTTGCATAAGGCTAGTTTTTAAGCCCATAGGAACGCATTAAACACATTTTAATGCGTTTCTATGGGCTTTTAAAAATCGCTTAGTGATGAAATCGCTTAGCAGTGATTTTTCCGGAATGGATTAACATCGCTAAGTGAGGCACCACTGTATTCCTTAGGATTCAGGTTCTTGAACTGCATATAACCCCATCCCCACCTGCAGTGTTAACCTATGAAGCACTGACGAACGGTGCCCCTTCATTACTTGTTTATTGAAAACGTTCCACATTTTCATCACAAACATCTACAAGAAAGTCCACCGTTTCAATTTAAAAGACACCACAAAGTAAATCATACCCATAATAAATCATAAAAGTAAATTCACAAAATGAAAAAAGGGGCAATGCAAATACAATAAAAACAGGTGATAACCACAATTAAAAGAACAGAACATTGATTTGTCCAGACAGTGCTACCTTAACTTTCCATTTGTTAACATTTTTCATTTGTAGTAAGATGGATGACATCAATGTCACTTCAACAAAGTCAGTGATTGGGATATAAACTATGGATAGAAAAAGACCCCAGAAACAAGCTGGGGTCAGGAGAGGATGGCTATTGACAGTATCCCGCTGGCCACAGGAAGACTCCAAATGATGCTACTTCTTTGATGTAAAGAGATAAAAGGAAATGGTTGGTCCTGATCTAAAAACAGAATGCTTCAGTATTGAGAAGATGCAGGAATTACCATACAAAATGACAGTAAATCAATTAAAATCAAAGTAAAAGTGTTGAGGAACTGAATCTGTAAAAGTGGTTGAAAGAGAATACAAAAGAAATAAGTACTTCAACAACACTTGCTGTACCCAAATTCAAATTCCTCATGTTTTCGATAAAAGCCTGTCACTTGGAATCATTTCATGAGCCTTCACAAAAATAAAGCAGCTGGGCTCAAGGGGTCTGCAGACAAATTTCCAGGGACATTCTGTCCTAACAAACACCAAATGAAACCCTGGCCTTTGGGGAGGTAAAAATGACATGAAAAGTCAGATATACGCTTGGCAAGTTGAGTTTGAGTTGCGAGATTTTATTTTTACAACCAAACTTTTACTTTGGTTTTAATACATTCCCATTCCTTTTGTACGGTTGCCACTTCACTGAAGCTATCTCTAGAAGCACCCTTCGAATAACACTGGCACCCTCCAGATGATGTTGTGAATTGCTGCACTGATATACAGTACGTAGCAGCTCACAAGGTTACACTTGGGTTAGTATCCATTAAATTTCCTAGATGTGTACTTAAACATTTCTCGAGACCTTTTAAAAATCAGATTATGCTAATTGAATATGCTTGCAGCTCTAGCCACACATCTGTGTGACAAAGTGAGAGAAGATTGGCAAAAGGGTGCAGAGGAAAAATATCCTCACAGTCCTGGCAGCTAAAATTCAATGAAGTAATTCAGAGCTGTTTCTGCAAAAAAGAAATCTAGGATAATATAGAATTTTTGAAAAAAAATTCAGCTACTTTATAACCATGGTAACAAGCACTGCATAAAATGCAAACATAGGTTCTATTTTCAAAAAAGCATAGAATTTTATTTTATTTCTGTGGAGGTTTCACAGAGTTAATGCAACTAATGCAAGCATACCAAAAACAGCATTGTTTTCCTTGCTTCTACTCTCTTATGATGGCCCTAGAATACTTTTATTTCATACATTCTTCTCCCAGCTGCTGCTATTCCCATGTGCTGTACTACAGTTCCCATATCCCACTGCTAAGTGGCTATAGGAGTTGTAGTCTAACACAGCGGTCCCCAACGTTTTTGGGGCCATGGACCGGCTGGTGGGAGTGAGCTCCATGTGCAGGGGTGGGGTGGGGACACCCCTGGGTGAGTGTGGGAGGCATGTCACACTCACAGTGTGTGTGTGTGTCACACTTGCACAGGGGGCATGTCACATGAGCACGCACGTGCGCAAGCATGACACCCCCACGTGAGCGCAACATGCCCGCCCCGCTGCAAGCGTGACACGCATGCAGCGGTGCAGAGATCCGTATGCGCAGCCCAGTTCCAGCAAGCCCACGGACCGGCACTGGGCTGTGGCCCAGGAGTTGATGACCCTAGGTCTAACATATTCAGAGGACATCTCTTGTTCTTGCATGCAATGGGGATAAATCTGGAGTGCTATTCTGACATAAGACCATCTCCAGACCCCTAAAGAAGGAAAGAGTGAAATACATAATTGGTACTCCGTTCCTGACTAATTGGACCATCTACATGGAATCTTATCAGGTTTGTGTTCAAGAGGGTGTAGGTTCTACTGCTCAATAGCATCATCATCAATTTTGAAAGAAACACATTAAGTGTTAAATGCATTAACCATTATTACACATCAGCATGTACAACATTGTGGGAACTCTGTCAAGTTTACTGTCAACCTTCAAAGATACTATGGAGAACTTTTATCCTAAAGCCCTCAATAGTTTTATTGCTGGTGGTAGCAAGATTAAGCCGCTGCAACTCACTGGAAAATGCAAATGAACTTTCAATAAAAAGATCGATTGACAGATTATGAAAAACTGATTTGTCAATGCTATGGTGCAAAAACCATAGAAATGGGTTCTTCTTTTCTCATTCATATTTACAGGCAGCCATTGTCATTTCAAAACTTTGCAGCATAGCATTAATTTTTTTTTTGGGGGGGGAAAGCATTTTACCTAAATACTGACTACACCTTGTATTGAGGAGGCAATGACAATTTGGTATTATCATAGATAAATCTTGACTTGACGAAACAAAATTTGTTGCCAAGACTGTGAGGATAATTTTCCTCTGCATTTTTGCCTATCTCCTCTCACTTGGAGCTTGTAATTAACTGCTTCTAACTCTGAGTACAAATTTTCTTTGTGGAAAAAAAAGTAGTTTAGGAGTCGTTAAAGAGCACATCAAACAGGACCCACAAGTTTTAAATCAATGAATGCTATACAATGCAATACAAAGCATTCTTTTTTAAATCATTTGTATGGCAGAGAGGGTATCATGGGCTACATTCCCCTTGTGGTATGTGGTATGCAAGCCCTGTGTGTTAAAACTCCTTTGGCTGTAATGCTCACAAAAGTGAAATTTATTCCTATCAGAATGGAAGAGTGCTCCTGGACTGAGCTTTAAACATGAATGTCCACCTTTCAGCAGTGGCTAGGAACACTTTTCATAGCTAAGACTAGGACATCAAATGCCTGTGAGTGCTGAATCTGGCAGTGGTGACACTTGCTTTAGTTACTCCACATCTGTACTGTAGTACCATATTCAAAATGCACCTGCACTTGAAGAGTAGTCAGAGACTGGTTCAGGGTGGTACATTCAGACCACCTTGTCAAGGCTTGGATAGCCCTGTCTCTGAAAGTCTTCCTCAACTGTTTCAGGGTGGTACATTCAGACTACCATCTTGTCAAGTCTTGGATAGCCCTGTCTCTGAAAGTCT